TGCACCGCCACATTACGCTATCGACGTGAGGAATTATTTAAATATGGAATACGGGAATCGCTGGATCGGCCGTTCCATGGCCACCCAGGTCACCAGACCTCACACCCTGTGACTTTTTTTTGTGGGGCGAATTAAACGCCGCGTGTATGTGGAGGAGGCCCAAAGCCTCGACGAATTGAAACTAAAAACTGAAACTGCATTTGCACAAGTGAAAAGTGACACTACAGTGCTGAACAAAATACAAGACAATATTCAAAAACGTGCAAGAATCTGCTTGGAGAGGAATGGTTTACATTTTGAACAATTATTAAAATACTGTTAAAGTTGTTACGCTAAGGTAATTTTTATTTGATTTTAATTAAATGTACATAAGTTGATTCAAATTTTTTAAATATGCCTTATTGCAAAAGGCATGGCCTGCTTTTATTTTTATACTTCTGTGTACGATACGAGTGCGGACTACATTTGTCGTAAATCGATGTTTTGTTTAAATTTATTGAAATTATTATAAAATGTTTCTAGTTCACTAATAAAAAAACACCACGTGCGTAGATAACAAAAGGGCGATGGGAAGATTCTTTTTTTTATTACTTGCTAAATACTAATTCGTTACAATTCATCGTAGGAAACGAACCTTTTATTTGTATGTCTCACAAACAAAAGTAAAGATTATTTTCTTTTGTTCTCTACACATGGTAAAATTTTTAGTGACTTTGAAATTCAATAAGTAAGTTCTTCGATGGCCCTAGGTAACACAACGCTTTAAATGCGTAGAAGTTAAGTTCGGGAAACGAACTTTCCTAATTAGGTGTGTTTATCTGGTGCATTATTTTTATCATTATTTTGTAATAATATCATTAAATTTTGTCTAAAACAATTTACTTATAAATAACTTCCGCTCTCGTTTTCGTGCGTTAATGTAACAAAATCTTGACTTGAATTCGAATTAATTGTCTACATTCTAAAATAACATCACAAAAGCCTTTTGTAACTTGACGGTCCTAAGCCCGTGAAAGTATGAAGGGAAAATTTGCAACTTATGTCTTTTATCAATGTCGCGGGGGGTGGCCTAGCGCGCATATCGATTAGGCTGTCCACACGCGCGCAATTTTTTAAAACAATTTTGCGATGGCATATCTTAATTTTAGTATTGATTTACACTAAAAGGAAAATTTGCGCATGTTATATTTTCACTAAAGATCATAATATGAAAGTTTGGACGATGACTAAAAATTCATCCTGTATAATGATATGGGGTTCTTAAGAAAAAGTCCTACAATTAGTAAGCAAATTATAAAAGTTGAAAAAATAGGCGCTTTTGAATGAAATTCTGATTTGAGAACTTGCATTTCTTTTATCTAGTATTGTAATTGTTATTGTTGTTTTGTTAAATGAGTAAGTTTGACCGACATGAGAAGTACCTTCTCACTGCTAGGTACTTATTTAATCATTAAGTAGGTATAACTTTAATTGTGTAAGAGCGTACTCGCCAACAAACTGTTTCCAGTTTGGCGAAAGATGGACTATTGTAAAATGTATACTTTTTGAAAAAAAGAAAATACAGATACAAACATTTTATTTTTGCTCCAGTGTTTACAATACGCCTACTTAAGCTAACGAAGAACCAAAAGAAAATAAACATAAACATCCAAGTAGGTAAGTAACTTAGTAACAATAGCTTTATGATCTTTATATCACCGGAACGACAGCGGAGAAACATTGAAAACTCGTTTTTGCTGCGAGTTCAGGAACATATCTCGAACAAGGAAATTCTAAAGAAAACTAATAAAGACAAAAATAGAGTAACAGCAATAATAATAACAAAAAAGGCAAAGAGAAAAGCATTCAGTATTTTGAGAAAGATTTATACAACGTCCATGACGATATTTAATGTCACATACCCGCAAATGTTCGTCGTTCGACATTTTACACATTGAGAGATACCCCACCGCGTCACTCATCGCGCTGTCGGAACACCTTCCTCTTGGGCATGATCTACCTTGGCAAACTTGGAAGTCCCTAAATAGGCTGCTGACCCAAGTCGGCCGAAGCAAGGAGTGCATGCACGGATGGGGTTACAGCTCGGGGAGCGCATGTCCGTGTGGTGTCTCTCCCCAGACAATGGCTCATCTTTTGTCCTGCCCTGCGTGTCCCTACACCTGCACACGCGAGGACCTGTACAACGCCACTGATAATGCTATCTCAGTCGCTAAGTACTGGTCCTCACAAATATAAACGTCAGAGTCGACACGCCAAGATTTTACAATTACTGAAATGCTGATTTAAATAGAATCATATTATAATATTAAAAAAACGCATTATGTATGATAAAAACATATTATTGCATAATTTAAATTTAAAATAAAAACAGAAAATACTCACTGGCAATTGAGGTAATTTGTGCCCTATGACGTTTATGACTTAGTTGCTTTGTACTTGAAATTTAGGATATTTATATAACTACTTATGTATTCCTTGTACGCGGGTTTATATTATATTTGGGATCGTTATTTTATTTATACATGTTGAAGATACAATGATCAAAGTGTTTAACTTATTTATACATTATGTGGCTTTGACCCAGTCAAAGATTACTATGTCTATTTTTATGGTTAGGTTCTTTTGCAAATATTAAACTTTTATTTTGCTACGAATTGCAGTAAAATAACCAAATATGTCGTAACCGTCTTCGTGCCCTGCAAAATAAAAAATAAATATTAAGACTGTCTTGCGAGCGCGTTCCGACGCTTTCATTGAAAATGTACAACTTTTCTAAGGGCGCTTTCAAATTAGACGCTTATAGAAACGCAAGCAACTGTCTTAAGTCTTACTTCACTCATTGTTACTTCAAAAGTGGCTCATGCATGTGACGAGAGTGGCGCTGCGACTGCGCTTTCAGATATTGTATGAAAATTAATTGTGGCGCGACTACCACACCACAGACGCGCCACTGGAGCGCCTCTATAAGCGTCTAATTTGAAGGCACCCTTAACGTCTAAATACAGGTACAAAATATTCAAAACCGGAATTTCAAAGAGTAACTATTTAGCCTGTGGCATACTTATTTGCCGGGTTATATTTATACCACGGAAATCTAAATTGTAACCTAAACTCTCCTAAACCAAACATGTATCAAAGTGGCTCATGCATGTGACGAGAGTGGCGCTGCGACTGCGCTTTCAGATATTGTATGAAAATTAATTGTGGCGCGACTACCACACCACAGACGCGCCACTGGAGCACCTCTATAAGCGTCTAATTTGAAGGCACCCTTAACGTCTAAATACAGGTACAAAATATTCAAAATCGGAATTTCAAAGAGTAACTATTTAGCCTGTGGCATACTTCTTTGCCGGGTTATATTTATACCACGGAAATCTAAATTGTAACCTAAACTCTCCTAAACCAAACATGTGTCAATCTATACAGGTGTAACGAAAAGGGTATGCTAATATCAAGTGAAGCAACTATATAAAAACATTTTTCGCTGCATAGCTTTACGGTATAGTTAACAAATCTACACAATTTTTGTAAACCAAAACTTACACGACACTGGGAACAAATCAAATAATCAGTGTCTATAACCTTTTATAAAGGGATATCAGGGTAGATTGGTCAAGTTTTTACGTGTTCGTGGCTCCATAGCTCAGTACTCCAAGTTTTGTCAGTAGATGTAAAACAATTTCAAAACGAAAAATTTGCATCGCTAAATGTAGACCCGTGTAGATACGTGCCACTGCATGATACTGGTCGCCTCCACATATATACCAACATAAACTGTTCAACGTGGTAATGCACTTACCTGAAGCAACAGCACATAATCGAGTTTAAATAGACCACATACAGTAAAAAAGGGCATCTGATGCAATAGCTGCTGAGAAAATTGCATCGCCTGAAAACAATCGCACTAATTAAACGCATGACGTTATAAGTTTAGGAACTTATGATTATTTATGTTGTAATAATTACAATATTAATGTATTATTTCCTTCAGAATTGTAATTGTTATAACACAATAAGACTCGCTTCCATTATTATTTATGATCGGGACGAATAAGTTACGAAACGTTTACGGAAATTACTAGAAATAATCCTACAACTAACATCGGACACCTGAGAGATCCAGCTTAGTGTGGAGTCAATGTAGAGGCCACCGTTTTTATAGTAAGCAGACGAGTTTTCATACACTATATGCTGAAGATCAATCTTGGATAGCTGTTTACACCTACCACAAGTGCTTGACGTTTCAATGGATTGACAAATATCCGCATACGCATCATAAATCCCGGTTTATCTGAGAAATAGCCCAATTAGATCCTCAGCAGATGCCTGCGCATAAAGTCTGCGCAGTAGTTTAAGTGACAAAGGAAGAAAATTAATAAAAAGAGGAAACAAAAGTGGTGACAATGAATTGCATTGTTCCTAGGTGGCGTAAATAACAATGTAAGAACACTTTCAGTGTACCAGAAACTCATGACATTAAATAAATATAAGTAAAAGGAGTAGTTTTTGGTCATATCTGATTTTGCCAGTATGTACATTAGAATATTAATGATTGCAATCATTGACTTACAATTATATGGACGTCGGGTCCGCGCTAAAAAGTGTCCGCACTTGTAAGGCGCTAAAATCGTATACAGAGCGCGACACTCCGCTTTAGTCTTCATTTGTTCTACGGACAGCGCGATACTGCGATGACATAACAATTTAAATTTCGAATAGGTTGACTTGGGACATTTTTTTCGTGGTTTTTGTATTAGACCCGTCGTCCATTTATTTGTAAGTCAATGATTGCAATGCAAAAAACATACTGAAGGAAAATATAATTCAGAATACTATTTTAAATGCGGAATGTTATGAAGACACAACATAATTTACACCAAATACTTATAACAAATGTAGTTAACGACACACAAATGTTGAAAATTAAAATAATTTCCAGCATTTGTCAATGATTTTGAGAGGCCACCACGTCTTTAAAGATCTTTGATTTGAAAGGTTCATCCACGTACCTCTGCCTTCACAGCTGGTGACCGGTGATAATTAATAATCTCGTGGGTTATGTAGGAAGTGACAGACGCCTGGAACAATTCATCAAAAATTGAAACAACTTTTGTTTAATTATTTTTATTAACGAAAATTTTGAAACTTACCTCTTTTACGGTTCCTTCGCTGAAATAAATCGAAAAGTATATCACACCGAGCGAATAAGCAATTTGCCAAAATACATAGATCAAAAAATATACATATCTTCGCGTGTCATGGAATAAACCTGATGCAGTCGCCTCCATAAAGTAGAACAAGTATAGGATTATGTACAGAAGACAGAAAAGCATGGTCAACAATAGAGCAAAACCGAACATTAATTTAGCCGTCCTATGGGCATTATATAGCATGCCGTAAATCCTCGCGCATGCCTTTATTTTCTCACAAACATATTTATCTTGAAGTTCATCACTACGTACATACACAGTATACTCCCAAGCCTTGCGTTCTTTTATATCTCTTAGCAACTTATTAATCATATTGTACCTATCTTTTAGAAGAATCAAATATAAGTAGTAATGCGAGGTTGTGACCATGACCACAGCGTCATAAAAAGCCACCCTCACCATAACTTCGGTAGGTATGTGCGTCTCCACATTCTTAAGCGTGATCCACACGGTCAAAAGTCGGGCTGCGCTTACGACTATCTGTAAAGTCGCATTAAAAAACGTTACTCGAGCGCTTTTGCCATGGTCAATAGGCACGTAAATTTTTTCGATGGCCCTGTCAACATCAATAATTTCTTGAATATATCCATGAGTTAGTGAAATATTGAAAGGTACCTTCCACATGGCATAAATTGCATAGATTATTGAAACAATCCTTTCAAAGACATCGCCGTAATGTTTCAACTGTGTATTATGCAGAGAACGCAGTATAGTCTGGTCTTCGCAGAAGGAAATATAGGATACATAGAAGTATATAACGAGCCAGATTGTATAGGTCACAAATCCTAGTAAACTGAATTTGGTAAAAATACGGTTATCGGAATCACATTCCATCGTCACAACTGCAAAACCGGTCAATATCTTAATGTTTTTTGCGAAATAAATTGAGTCAATTACGTTTCTGTAATTTTTCATTTTCCTGTTTCCAAAATATCGCGAAACCATTTTAATCGAACGAACCATATTCTTTGCTTTCTATTCTCAAATACAAACTCACGTAACTACTATCCGCAACAAAAAAAATTAAATGGGCAATACTTACATACAGTTCCATAACATTATCCACAAAACGTAATATTAAAATAGCTATTTAGTAAATTGAATTGCATAATAAAACAAATGAATTACTACATTAAGGAAATTTTGGTAAATGAAACAAAATTGTGGTATTCGCAGTTATCCACTGGATAATTAGATATTTATTTCTCGTGATTGTTCACATTTACAGAGGTAATCCTACATTATGAACATCATAGGCATAATATTGTCATGAATAACAAATAAAATGTAGGCATATTTATATACAAAAGTATTATAGTGGTTGAATTCTTTTTATTAATTATTTATAAGCACTATACAACTTTACATAATGTGAAATTACAAGCATGTTCTGTATTATTTATTATAATATTATGTATATATAACTAGTAGGGTAATTGCTGCCTTGCGATAATGTAGGTGCATGCCCATTTTGATAAATCCCTAATACAATTAATGTACAGAGAAAAACGAGTGTTTTCTTCTATTACGAGCATTTTCAAAATTATCAGGGTAAGAGAGCATAACCAATGCTTGACATTTTCTAGTGCGTTCTTTGTTCAAATATGTTGTTATATCTACAAGCCAACGTCAGATAAAATACGAACAAGGAAAGTTGTTGGTAGACTTCATATCTGCTGGAAAAAAGAAGCGTATCATATTATGCTAAACCTAGCTTTCGTAGCAACCACCTCAATCGATCTTAAACCAATCATATTTATTTTTTATCCTAGTAAGTAAACTATCATTAAATTTGTGAGAGCTTCACAAGGTACAATTCGGTGAATACCGTTCAAATATTAAATAGAACATATTTATGGCACAAATAAATCTGTTAATGTTGTGACGTTTGTTGAACCGAGTATTACATAGGAAATGTTTGATCGGGAGCTTTGAAATTTTCTGAAGCTATTATTAGTACCTTCGTATTGCTATGTTAGTACTTACATTAATAACAATTGATACAATTTATACCTGGCAACATTGAAAAAAAATATCTAATATCTAAGGACACAACAATGCCTGAAGGCTAAGTTCAGTAACAGGCACTGCAATGTACTGTTACGAATCTTCAAACTTTTCATTACTTGATTGTTACAAGGTATATTATAATGTCTACAAAAACACTTTAGGTAAATTGATTGCCGACTCAAACAAGACTTAATACTTTATTCCCTCCTTCTGATAGCTTTACATTATTAATACGGGCGTAACATAATAACTATACTGAATGTGATGGTTATCGAAAAGATATCGTTAATATTTAGTTCCTGAAATATTAAATTCCTTAGATGTAATTTATTAGCAATATAATGTGATGTTTTAGCTTTTCTTTTTTGTTGTTTTATTAAATCTTTATCTTTCTTATGTCTAGGTTTATACAGTTGCACGGTAGCAATTAGCATTATTATCAGTAATGAAACAAATAATCTTATAACTTTTTAAAAATAAGTATAGAACTTAACATGCATGGTCGATATTTCCGTATCATACTTATAGTACTACAAATTCACAAAAAATAATATGTAATTGTTTTGCAAATTAATTGGAAAGACCCAAAATTCATTTTGTTACCTATATCGAGTCTGTCACCAACTTGGGCCGTTGACACTTACAATATGATTGATGAGCCCGCGTATATATCCATTACCATAGTTTCAATTTCTTCAAAATGAAACATTCATCTCTAATTATCACTATTAATCAAATAGAAGCCTGTATTCACATCCATCGTAAAGGCGAGCTGGCAACGTCGCACCATAATGTAATTTTGAAATAAATTATTAAGACAAGATTTGGAACTATCACAGTAATATGTATTTACAATACCCTAAGCTTTTGCCAATCCCGTTCATCTTATTGTATTCGTTGGCGAGCATCCGAGCACAAGTAATAAAAATAGCAATTCGTTTGGAGCAATATTTATTATAATAGGTACTAATAATTTATTTCAATCTTTTTGTCCATATATAGTTTATTACATAATAATGAAAATTTGTGCTAGTAATACTCGTTCGCTCAAGGCTTTATGTGTGCGTTACAAAAATGTTTCGTTATGTAAAACTACGTATTATTGTATCCCACATACGCTAGAACAATGCGACCTTGCCAAACTATCGAAATAACGCCTCAAACAAGGTATTCGACCAGCGCGGCGATAGGAATCATTAATTATTTAGTATTTATCCAGCTATCAATGCAAAGCCTGTCTATAATTTAAAGTTGCCCTTGAACCTAAGCTAAAATAGTAACTTTGATAGTCGTTCATAAACTCATTTATATAAAAAAGGACATTTCTAACTTAACCTAACTATTGCAGAAAAATAGCTATCATTTTATATTCTTTACATTGACAAACACTATTTATTATGAGATGTGAAACGAGACAGAATATAAAAATAAATATACCAATTGAATCACAGAACTGTATAAAAATATAAGTAAACCGAAACTATTTACATACCTAATGGAAAATAAATGCGAGTTATCATAATTCTTTTAAATTCACCCATATAAACTAAGTAAGTTGCCTACCTTCTATGTTTACCTAAAATGGTACAGATCTCATACAAATCACAACTACATATATTTCGAAGTATAACGTAGAAGTATATTCAAAGGGTTAAAAATAACCAAGTTGTTACAAAAAACGTTCATAATCGTAACATTCTAAAGATGTACAATAACTGAGATGTGTATTAATCCATATAGTTAAAGTGATAGTCGATGGCACCTAAGAGTACCAGCGTACTTGTTGTAAATTTTCCGAAGGTCGTCAAGTATTGCTCAAGTAAAATAATAATTTTAAAAAGAACCCATCCTCACTAAACAATAAAGCTTAAATAATAATAACAAACATGCATTCGTTCCAGCAACTCGTTCCAATACACATTGCACATACACTTTTGTAAAGCTCGAGTCTAATATGTTTAAAATCACATCTCATTAAATATCTTTGGATACAACCAAATAAAAATATCATTATAGCGTACAAAAATACAAAAAATATACGAGAATGTCAAATATAAATCACTGATGGGAAGTGCGTTACACTTACCTGTATACCATGTTAGTTGCCACAAATATTATATTTTATTATTAATCCATAGAAATATCAATGGAAATCACACAGACTAGATTTAAATATGTTTAAAGAAACATGGTATACATACAAGCATTAATATTGATATTGAAGATAGATTGTTCTACCAGTCTCAGAGTAATGCCCTTAATTTTCTTTCCGTCAAATGTAATGCACGTACATAGTTGCACCTCTTAATACATTGAAGAGAAACAACCAAGGAAGTCATCTTGTACTTACATATAAAACATACTAAATATTTCTCAGAACTCCGTCTGGCCAATCGTACTAAAATTGTTATTATAACAGCTAAGATTCAACGGTCACAGAAGATCCTGTACATGAGATGTGTCAAGGTTCGTAATAAGAGTTTTGAGGAATGTCATTTCTTTGCGCGCGTTCTCTAAAATAACTCTAGGGTCTTGTGAAGTACAACGTAGACAGTTGGGTGCGAAAACCATAGCAAGATTTGCTGAATCCATTTTCGTTTGACTTACCACCTCAGGTGCAGTAAATTGTTGTAGAAATTGTATCAAATATGTTAGTACCTGAAACAGCATAACAAAAAGTATTTCTTAACCGACTTTAAAAAACCAGGAAGTTCTCAGTAATCGATAGTCGACTATATTTTTTGTGCATATGGTACGCGATTACTTCGATTTGCGAATCTACTTCGATGATTCTTTTTTTGTTGGATACTAATTTGAAGTCTTCAAATTAGTATGGAGTAAATTAAGGTATCAATCCGGTTTATTGCATTTCACTCATTTCCTGCTAGCCAATTTCAATAAAACTTGGCAAACATATGAATCTATAAACTTTTAAGGTAGGTTTTAGTTATAAAAAAAGAAACTTATATTACATTATACACTTCTATAGTCAAGAGAGAGTAATTAACACTACTTGCTAGATACGGATCACGAGAAGTACGATAGCTTAATTACTTCACTAACAAAATTTACGAAATTTTATGTAATGTCTAAATCATTATGTTACTTACATTTACTGAATAAATAAATGTAAGTAACCTTATGTATATATACACTGTCGTGTTTACAAAAATTAATGTGTTCTTCCTATCATTACGTATATCTCTGTGTTCGATATGTATTTAATACACACAATTAAATAACTGTATAAATAACATGTTGTTTGACTATTGCATATTGTAGTAACCTATAAATTTAGGCAACATTTGTAATGCTAGGCCATTTGTGTTATTTAATGAAAAATTAATGTATTATACTCCGTTCAATTTAGCTTAAATCTAATCTAATCTAATGATTGATAGATCGGCAAAATTAAGACGACGTAAATTTGTAGCAACGTCCTATTAATTGACTATTTCTCAAAATACATGTACATTTACAATTAAGAGATGTGCCCCAAAATGGTAAACAAAAACTATGTTTTTATTCAAATATACAAAACTAAAAAGAATAATTTTAAAGAAAAAGACGTTAGTTTTTAATACTACGAAGAGTGAAAAGTGTAATTTTATTATTTCATTAATTATTTCAACGTTTTCATATACAATGTTCTTTATTTTTCATATAAAATTGCCACCTCCTTACCTCAAGTGTTCGTCGCTTCATAAAATACGATATATCACGATAATACGGTCACGTATTTATATTACAGGCCTTGATTGAATATACTTTCAGAATTAAAGTGATTTGCAATGCGGATTCATAGTAATAATTTAACTAATTTGCCAAAAACAATATGAGTCATACCAATTTACTTTTTAGTTACTACTCTTTCGTTGCGCATTCACCTAATTTCTAGACACATTCGTTAGATTTTTGCACGGGCAGCACTAGAATCATCCTGATAGGCTGGTGGTCTGGCGCCTCCGCCATATTTTTTATTTGTAACAATCAGCCCGAACGCGAGTGTACTTTTCTGTGACATCAATAATAAGGACCTGTTACATAACAAGTTGAGTCTTAATTTTGTTATCTCATGTAAAATACACGTGAGTCAAAAGTTTGACAAAACTTATTACATTTGTAACATCAGGTTATAACAATTGTAATATCGGCTTTTAAAACTAGTCAAGAAACTTGACCATCTTGGTCAAATTTCTATTACTATTTCATAAGATTTTTGTGCATTTCGTTGCGCAACGAAAATATGCGTGATACAGCGAGTGTACACAGTTATTACGCGACTTTGACGATGCAAAAAGTTGGCAATAGGTAGGTAATATAAGTATGTCAGTAATATTCACATAAATGGTTGTAATTCTGATACTTACAGTATTGTAATGAAATTGCATTTATTTAATAAATAATTAGTATTTAAAAACAATAATCCCTTTCTAAGTCCGCATAATTTCGACCAAATTATCCAAACTATAATTTTATTTTGAGGAATGCCCCAAAAACAAATGCCAAAAGGCAAAAAGCATCAGAGAAAAACTAAAAAGGAATATCATATAAACATGAAGAAATTAGAGTCAAACATTTCAAATGTTTAAAGAAAAAATAAAAAGAAACACTTACAGAGAGAGACAAAGAAAAACAAGGTGCAAAATGGAGAAAAGTACATGCTAGCACAAAAAAGAAGGCTAAAAATTAAAAATACAATATTGGACAAAAATGCTTCTACATTAGAAATAAGGTTAAAAATTGTAGAAAAATCCTAATCGGATGAAAAACGGATGACTATTTAAAAACAATTAGTTGGACAAACTGCACCGGATAAAGATGCTGTTCCAATTAAAACTGCTGAAACTATACATTGTGACGACATACCACTAACGGAAACAAATGGTATCTTAGACTTTACTAACTATATCCAACTCAGAAAAAGTAAAGGTAAAAAAGAAGCTACTTTTGCTAAACTCGAATATTAAGACAGTTTGATAAAACCGATCCCAAAGAAAACGAAGTACTTAAAAAAGTAGCTACAAATGAAATAGCACACAAACTCAAATTAAAATCAAGGATTACCGAAATTCTTGGATTTAAAGGAAACATTAGATTTATGAAAGCAAGAAAAGAAGTTACGAAAAAATACAAGAAGGATATCCTGTCGTATCAGATATATTTGCCCGGTTATAAAACTTTTAGGCTAATTTAACCAATCAGGACGTGGTATAGCTTTTGAGCAGCGTCCTAATTGATATTTTAATTAACAAAAATACAACTATCTTTTTGAAACTCATTATAGTTCTATGTACAGTACTATAATACTCATTATACTTCTGTGTGCAGACTAACAAAATTTTTCAGCTCCGTGACGTTTTTCTTCGACGATAACTATATTTTCATATTCTAGCCCTTTAAAGATAAAAATGCAAGGTGGCTCGAATTATGTGCCCGGGAGTGTATTTTACCAATCTATAATAAGCTTAATGTTTTAATTTTTTATACTATTTCGTATCGACCTTTTCGTTACGTACAATCATTTTGAGAAATAGTCAATTATACTCTTTTAAACATCACAAAACAACAATAATTTTATAAGTTGACGTTACTAGCCATTAACATACGATAATTGAAACCCCTGTTAGAGTTTATTGACTTAGAAATATTGTTAATATTTGTTATTGTCACAAGAATATATAAAATATAGAGACGATGAGTGGTCATCCAGTCGCGAAATGGTCTAGTGGTAATTTTTAAAAACTATATGTTTTGAGCTAGAACACAGGGAAATGGCATTATGTCCCGTCAGAGGGCCACAGGCGGTCGTGGTGAATATGCACCGACCCCACGGCGCCGACTCAACCGGCGGGAGGTAAACCCGGGGGGGCTTTAGTGCGGTAGGCCCTCCAGTCTGGAGGGAGAGTCCCCACATAACCCCTGAGTCTCCCTGGGCTCTAAAGATATAAAGATTTCCCCCCGTAAAAAAAGGGTCACAGGCGAGGTGCGGGGGGGGGAGCATGCTGACGGGGTGAGTATGTGTGGAACACCTGGCTGACTGATCAAGTCAGCCAGCCGCACATTTCGAGCTCCCGATGTCGCGCAGTGAGCTCCTAACTCCTGCACCTATACTCTCCTGACAATTCTGGTGTCCCGAATGGGACATCCCCAAACGTGCGGGCTCCGTGGTGTGGAAGTCAGAAGAGTGAATTGAAACACATATTAACATGGACACTAACACTTTCTTAATCTAAATCTAATAACCCAAAACCGGCAGTACTGGAGGGGAAACCCAAAAGTTCCCCACCAACACATACAAACACACAGCGCCCTACGGTGAGTGGTAGGCCAAAGGGGAAACCCCAAGGTCAGCCGAGGTTCTGCGGCCCACGCTCACACATCGGGTTCTGCATTGCAGAACCCCTCAAACACGAAACCCTTGAGCCAGGGTGGACCCTGGTGGGTCGCCAGCCCAAATCCAAGGCCACGGCACCTATCCGTAAGGAAGGGACAAGTGACTACGGCAAGCGTTCACCTCCAGCCCCAAGTGAGAGCAGGGGATGCCCTGCCCGAAAAAACAATTAAGGCCGTCGAAGAGAACGCGAGCGTCGCAATGCAAACAACCCCCTGCCGAAAGATGAAGAGGCGAGGCCCCCAGTGGGTGGCGCGAGTGGCCCAGAAACTGCATCAGCGCGGTCAAATGGATCGGTCGCGCACCCACAGGAAGGGCCCCCCTCCCTTCTAACAGCAAATCGGCAGAGAGCATGCAGAGGTCCTCGACCGTTGCCAAACGTGCCCGCCTTAACGAGATAATATCTGGAGGAGTGCGGCGAGGAGGACGGCGGCCCACAGTTTCGAGGTAAACCTGTCTACAGTGACGGGTCCCTGAAACTGTGGTGTCAGGACACAACCACATTCCAGTGGCTAGCCACTTTCCAGTGGCTAGAGGATGCCATTAGCACCATCAGGCTGCCATCCGGGGAGCCCCTCTCATTGAAAAATGGGGTGGAGGCACCCCAGAGCGTGGCCTGCGGACTACTCATCCCTGGCCATTGGGAGGATGCGCGTCGAATCGGCCGCATCCTCAAGTGGCAAAACCCGAGGGCGGAGGCACACCGCTGGGTTGTTCACAAGCTGCAGCAGCAGAGTGAACACTCCTTCGTAGTGGAGAGCCTCCCAAAAGAACTCGTCCCCGCTGTCCTGGGGCATGGTCGGCGCCTAACCTTCCAGTTGGGCACGGTCTACCTCAGGTTCAGATCCAAGAGGAGCTTGAACATCGATGTGCCACCTGAGAAGGCGAGCACAACAACGACACGGATGGACGTCTCCCCGGAGCCCTCGACCTCCTCTGATATCCCCGGAGAAGGGAAGGGCACTCCTTGACCCCTGTCTCTTTAATACGAGGAATAGAAATAAACTAGCTTTTCTTGATAGTCGTCTT